CCTTAGCATTTAATATGCCTGTCTCCAAAAGATTTGCAGATGGTTCAAGACACGGGCTTCTTTCCCATGTAGAATCGGGTGACAAGACAGGCCTAATGTGATCTGAGGAGGGTGGCTGTGTTGAAGCAGAGCAATTAAGCCACTGGTGCCAAACAGGTGGTAATGGGGGTGGGGAGAGCTGAAAGTGTAATTCTGCATATCTTAGCACTGTCAGGATCAGTGATTTGCTTGTCATCAATCCACACACGCTGAAAGAGGCAGAGCAGTTTGCCGTGTCCATGCTTGTTTGTAAGCACTTCGAGAAAAGACCCCCCTCCCCCTTTTCATGAGTTTAGGTAGGAGCTGGGTACACAGCTGGCTCTGGTGGGCTAGCAGCTATTTACCAGTAACTGAACTGCAAAAATGAGTGCACAAGAACCTATGGCAGGTGGATTTTAAAACATCCCTGCATTTCTGTCAGATTAGCGTTCAAGTTCATCGAATAAGGAACTGAAACAAAAAACACATGATATCTCTGACTGGATACAGCTAAGTGACACTTTGAATTTGAAAGAGTTGAACTGCAGGGGTTTTGAAAGGGTTGAACTGCAGAGCCTGAGCTCAAACATCACATTCAGTTAAGGAAATTGCTAGCAAACATTCATAAATTAAAAAAAAAAACAACCCAAAACAAACCAAACCCTAATCACAGGCTTGCTCACTGCGAACTTTCAGCTCAGCTCTATGGTTATTCTTGCCAGTTCTTTCACTAAAATTAGGTCATTTCAAACAAGGCCTCATTGTCCTCCTATTTTCTTCAATTAATAGAGTTGCATTAGTGTTGCCGAAGATGACCCATTGAAGCTTCAAGTTGTCCCTGCTCTTTAGTTGCTCTTACTTAATGTCATGCCCTGTTACGTATTCCCAGGACCAGTCTACTCCAGAAATGCAGTTCTCCAGAGACAGAAGGGAAAGAGGCCAGACTGATTTCAGTGTATGCCATCCAAGGGGAGCTGACATGGTGTACCAGACTTGCTTCAGATACATGGCAGTGACAGTGCTCTGAGGACATGCCTCTGTGGCTATTCTGCAGGTGGCTGTTTGCAGACACTGAGATCTCAAGAGCTGCCATGGGGCTGTAGAGCGTACCAGACTTTAGAGGCCTCTTCCTGCTAGTTCCCCTGGTTCCCTCCAGCTTTCCTACACTCCCACTTCCCTCTTCACCAGCAATCTCAGACCTGCCACAAACCACATCTGCAACCAGTATGATCGAATCCCATGAAAGTCTTGGTCTGTGGTTTCAGAAGCTGACCACCAAGTGTTCCCCTGGAGTCTTGCTTCCTGAACAACCAGAACTTGCCACTGATCTTGGTGTAAACCCAGGGCCAGGAAAGGTGCTCTAGATTTAGACAGGTGTAACAGGCCCAGATGCCTGTGGTTTAGCACTGCAAACAGCCCACTTCTGAGCAGAATCCTGCAGGAGACAAATGAGGATGCATCTGAAATGCTCAACAACTCTGGATCCATATAGGATGCTGGGTTACCAGGTAGGCTTCTCACTTGGGCATTTGTGCCAGCAGTTTAAAACATTTTAAAATTTCTCAAAACATAACAAAACAAGCGACAGCACTTGAAAGGTCCCTTAACTACACCCCTGAAGACTCAAGCCGGGTGCATTTGTGCTGTAAATAACTTACTCATTACTGTTAGCATTCAAAAATTCACAGCAGACCTTTGATGCTAGCCTGCTAGTAAGATGCATGGAGAACGCTCTCTCTAGCAGTGGCATTTCAGTCCATCCAGAGCAGTGGCGTATGAATCTGCAGGCTGTGGCTGTAAAAAGGTGAAGAGACCAGGGGAATGGCGGATGTTCTGTGAGATGCAGTGAAATGACCTGCCCAGGCTAAAAAGCATCACTGGCATTTTACCAAATATGCCTAGTTCCTGCAGACCCCATCAGGAGAGATGCCCAGCTCCTCCCAGGATGTGACCCTGGGTCCGAGTGAGACCAGCAGATCTCACTTTCCTGCCACAGAGCTACATCTATTCTTATTTCCCTGTTAGCCTCTTAATTTGCTGGCATCCCCCTTATTCCCCTGGCCTCCACTGGCTCATCCTTCCCTACCACGAAGAACATAACCCACTTCCTTTTCAAGGCCCTGCCCATCCTCACGCATCACCTTCAGCATCAAGAAGTCTGTTCCTGGCCCTGTTCCAGCCCACAGGCTCTACCTCCAGCACTCACTCATTCACAGAGCCTCTTCACAGCTCTCCTCCAGAGCCAGCCTTAAACCTCTCCTTTGCCATAATACCTACTAGACACCTGACAGACCGCTGGCCTAGAAAGAACCATACCCACCACACTCACCCATGTCTGGGACTCCCCATCTTTCTGCATCCATCTACTGTCTGTTGTCTTACCCTCCAAAATTTGGGGCAGAAACTCTCTTTTTGTTTATATAGCACCTAGCACACAAATCATAATAAAGCCCACCATCCCTATTGATACGAGAGTCCTTTTGACTTTAGCAGCAGACAAGCTCTGAGGCCTTGAAATGCAGTGGAAATGCTCCCACCAACTTTGGAGCTGGCCCCGAGGAATCAAGGATGACAGGACGAAAATGCTGCGAGGCACCAAGAGACTAGGGCCACATCTGCACAGACAAGAGGAGCTTGCAGACCAAATAGGCAAAGAATGGGACTTGCACAAGGTCACACAGCAAAAGAGCCATGAACAGTACCCAGGTGCCCTGACTGGCCAGGGCAGTGCCCTTCCTTAACGGCCACCCTAAGGGCTGTAGGAAGACTCAGCAAATCCCTTGGGATCAGGCCCAGCACCCATGAAAACTGTACATTTTTGCACTGGACGGTGACCACTTCAGTGGGAGATTCACAGAGGGTTCGACTGCAGCTAATATGTAACTGCAGGAAAGGCCCAAGGCAAAACCAACCGGAGAAGGAAGAGGATGCAGGCTGCCCATCACACTAGCAGGCCTAGCGCTACTAGCATTGGCAAGCTGGGATGTTTAAACTCAGAGCGTCTCCGTCCTCTCCTGGGTTTTTCCAGGAGGCACGATCTTTCCTTGGGAATAGCTCACCCCAAGACCAACCACGAGGAGCGGAAGGCGCGGGGCCCCGTGGGCTAGCCGAGCTGTCACGCGCGAGTGGCGACTGCTCAGCCCTCACCCTCTCTAGTACCCAAGTCATTGGGAAGGGGCGAACTGGCTCCCAGCAAGACAGGAGTGAGGCAGAGAGGGCTCAAAGGCAGGCAGGTGCATTTGCCACCAAGGGTTGGCAGGCCCCGTCTCCGGGAGGCAGGAGCTGGCTCGGGCAGGGCTGGCAGAAGGGGCAGCGGCGGAGCCTGGCCCGGCCCATGGCCCCGGGGGATGCCGGCTGCAGCCAGCTGCCGCTCCGCACCCCGCTATAAAGGAGGCCCGGTCGGGCGGCGCGGCCAGCCGGCAGG